CCCCCCCCCAAGTCTCAGGAGGCACCAGTCACCCATGGTCAGTCAGTTTTAGAATTACCTGGGACCAGCTATTCTTGGGCTCATCTAAAAGAGTGATTGTCATCAGATTGAAATGAGCAATATATAGATCCTGCCTACATTCTACATACATAACATGATTTCTACGTGGAGTTCAAATTGCCTCCTTGAATTTTTATGCCATTTGGGATTATTGTGCATTGTCTAAAACAAACCAAGGCGATCGTTAGTTGACACTTGAGCGGACTTTGTTCTCATTTGCAACCAGAGTTTCTTACACCTGTCAGGAAGAATGCCCTGATGGTTATGGTGGTAGTCTGAAATACAAGGAAGCACATGTTCAGTTTTCTGCCTGTCACAACAACTTACAAAGTCACTGGCTCTTTGTATTTGTTTCATAGTACTTGAGAACCTCAGTGATGTATGGGTATTAAATTGAAAAACTTAAGATAGTGTTGGGTATAGGTGCATGTAAGAAATATAGGTGAAGGCATTAATTATGAACAACTTAAGAAGCCTGCTACTTGTGCAGGCCGGGAGCGGTCCACAGCCCTTTTTTCGCGCGGCGGGCTGTGGCCAGCAGACCGGACACGCCGGGTCGGGAAGGCAGGCGGCACGCTAGAATTAGGCACGGATGCTTAATGGTTGATTTAAGATTGTTTACTTACACCGTAGATGGTCGCGGTGCAGGCTGGAAAACTTCCAGGAAAACTTCGCTTAAGTCCCAGTTTAAGGACTCGAACAGAGCTCTGGATTCACTCACACGAAGTTTGCTAGGCTCCGTGGAACTTTGCGCGCAGGGAAGGGTACGTCGAGGGATCAGGCGGCGACGGGGAGAGGCAAGAGGCTGATCAGACCCCTGTAGCCTTCTTGAAATACACGCTGGGTCCAATAAGCTCCGCAGCACTTAGAGATCTTCACGAGACGTGAAGTCTCCTCCTCCTGATGTTCGTGGAGTCCTCCAACTTGGGCAGAAACCACTCAAGCCTTTTATACGGCTAGCAAACCAATCGCTAGCCGCCACGTAGGAATAATTTAGAACTGGCCAATAGTGGGGCACAAATTTGAATACAAATGGCGGGAACTCCTTGCAAGGTGCATTTCTGTGTTGCAACGAAGAAATGCACCCTGCAAAGAAAGCTACAAGTGGTGGGAAATAATTCAGCAGTGCCGAAGCGCACACAAACAAAAATCACACCCTTGGGTTGTGACACTACTAAGATGTCTTCCTACCCAGAATAACCAATACTCATCTTTGGGAACAGTTATCTGCTTACATGCTGTATTTCCTAGTTAATGTTATAAGATTAAAGGACTGCAGAGGGAACACGAGTGGCTGAGAGAGAGGGCATTGTCTTAAAAAAAAAAAAAAAAAAAAAAAAGGGGGAATCTATTATTTCTATCCTAAAGGTATTGATATCCAAATGGGGGCCAAATAAGAATAAGGCAAGTTGTGTGACAGAAAAATACTGGACTTTAAGCAAAAAAATGATGGCTTTGCTATAAAGCATATTAGGATGAATACTGCAATATTATGGGGAAAGATTTAAATTATAATGACAAAAGATAGGGATGGTGATATTTTTGTGAGATTCATTTTTGTAAAATATATATAAATATGTAGGTAACTTAAGTGATGCAAAGTACCCTATCATTTGAAAGTCAGGTATATACGCTTACATCCAGCAGAAGTTTAGCTTGCTACAAACTACCTAAGTTACACATGTGCAGTCTTAAAAGAAAATAATATAGGAGCCTGCAAAACCAATTTTTATTTAAAAGCTTAGAAAGAACCTAAAATAGTCTACCTTATGAATTTCACAATGTTACGGAGATAAGGCTTCTTGATATGCAAGAGTTTTTGAGCATAGAAAAAGAATTATTCTTTATAAAGCATGCCTTCCTATATGCATAAGGTATGAAGTCATAATGTCAGGATTTCAAAGCGAGTGAGTGGTGGTTACCTTAGCAAAATTGTCTAACAGGCTAAAAGCAATAAATAGCGAAAACAAGTGCGTCTGAAAGGGAACTCAAGATAATAGAGTGAAAGGGGAGGTTATACCAAAGACCTGTAAACTTACTCTAATGTGTACGGGCCTGCTGGTAGGGAGTTTCTCAGGCAGCCTCACCTAGCGTGGCTCACATGAAGTAAGTAATACTATAGCCTGCTTGCCATTCCAGTGGATCCTCCTGTGGGGAGAAGGGAAGTTTTGTTTTTGTTTTGTTTTTTCCTGGTGTATTGCACAGTTACAAAATAAACTGGCCTTAACTCTTATTAGTGGTTCAGTTCCTAAAGCCAATGAAGTCCTTACTACAGCTTGCCTTTCATAGAAAAAAAAAATCAGTGAACTTTATATGGAGGAGTTCAGTGGTAAAAAGGATCACTGCACTGGAAACTTTCTTGGTGGTGGATTTTTGTCTTAGCCTGACATTTTCTTAGGATCCCATTCATTAGTCTGAGCAATTTTTTGTCTTTTCCTTGTACCATGGAACTGTGCTGTCATATTAAGAACTAAATTTAAATGCATCAAATATTAGAAGTGTGCAATGAAGGTACTTCTTGTTTTTAAAAAATAGCTTACCAGAATTCCTTATATAGTGTAGTGTATCGTAATGCATCATAAGCAAATATATAGCAACCGTCTGCCTGAACATACATAAACATGTAAGGCTTAGTCTGCTTTAAGTACCTTGTTAGTGTGTGTCTCTATGCGCGTCTGTCTGTGTCCACCCTACCCACCCTCCCTCCCCTGCTGGCCTAAATTGGCCCACCCTCCCCAGATGCCCCCTTTCTCCCCTGCTTGCTTGTGGAAGCTTGTGATGTCTGTCCTGGGGGAACAGGTGGGGAAGGGTTAACCTGCATGCCCAGCCTCTGCCACTGCTGACCTCTGGGTGGCTCAGCCTAAAGAATAGCAGTAGCCCTGGCACCTAGGCAAGCTAGTTAACCCTTCCCTGCCTGCTTTCCCAGAATAGACAGGTGGGCAGCAAGGAGCCAAGGAAGCCCCGAATGAGAGGGAGGGATGCAGGGTAATTCTTACCTTTCAGTCCTCCAGGTCCCTGTTGGCCTGAAGTGCAACTGCTCCAAACTCAAGCTAGCACTAATGCCAGCTAACGTTTGTGCATCTTTCAGTGTAAGGCAGGGGTTGTCAACCAGGGGTACATGGGAAGCGTGCCGCCCCCCTCCACTCATCAACCAGCTGCTGGGGGACCCTGCCCGCTTGTCCAGGGAGTATAGTCCAGGAGGGGTACCCACCAGAAGCATTACACTCCTTTAAAGGTTGAAAACCCCTGGTGTGAGGTATAACAAAGCCTTTAGCTAACTTGAATAAGATGTTACAGAACTTTACCTAATGGCTGTTTTCAAGCAGTTGACTGTATTACAGTTATACAGGAAAATCATGTTTTAAATTCAAAACACAGGGAATGAAAAATACACTGAAAAATACACTCTTGCTCCCAATGGTTAAGTGGGATCCTGGCTTTCTCTGATTAAAAACAAAACAACCCCATCCCCCCCCCCCCCCCCCCTCTTCTCTCCT